ACTATGTAAGGTATTATAGTAAGTATAAGACGTTATATAAGAAATAAAAAAGTTTAGAAAGAAATTAGTAATTAAATACTTAGCTTAAAAGTCTAAGCACTTTAGGTATAAATTAAGCCTGTTCTAGGTTTAGTTAGTGTTAAGGCAGTTTATGCTTAAGTTTATGTCTGTGTTGTGTTGTGTTTGTGTCAGACGTGCACTAATAATACTCTAGTACGCGTCTAATACAGTTATGTCTAGGATCCGGGGAGGATACCGTGACAGTTCCGCCCCACCACTAAAACGCAGCCAACCTACTACTAACTGTAATGCATTAACAACTATATTATTAATTATCTTTAAAAGAGGCTAGAATTAACCTAGCTATTTAAGCTCTTAATAAAGATATGTCTTTAACTAAGAGGCGCGCTGCAGCACTCTATAATGTTAATTAAATAGCTCTCTGCTAACAACGCGCAGGGATAACTATGCAACGCAACTATACAGCTAACAACAAAAAGCTTACAAAGCTAAAAGAGAAGGTAATTATTAAGCATATACTTAATCTAGATTCCTAAGGATTTGCGCCTACTCTAGGTACTGTATAAGAGATAGCTAACAAGCTTCTTACTAAGCGCAGCGCTCTACTAGCAGGTATTAACTAGCTATCTAACTTTGTTGTGTGTACGCTAGTAGTTAAAACTTACCTTAGCTAACTATATAATTACTAATAAGTAAAATGTAAAAATCTAGTAATTATAAGTAAGTAGTTTAAGCTTATAGAGGCTACATAATTAAAGTATAGTATTATAGATTAGAACATGTATAATTTTAATAAAACAGGCTTTTAAATAGAGGTTATATTAAGCTAAATAGTTATTATAGGCATAGATAGACATAATTAGCTAAAGGCTATACAGCTAGGCAACTATAAATAGGTAACAGTTATTACAGGCATTAACGCAGATAGGTAGGCAATACCTTTATACACAATCTTTAAAGGCAAGCATCACCTATCTGCCTAGTATAAAGATAAAGATATACTAAAAGACTAGGCTATTAGTGTTAGTAATAACAGCTAAATAACTAATAAACATAAAATTATATAGCTAAAGCACTTTAATCTGTATATAAAAAATTACTTAGTAGGCTTATAGCAGCTACTTATTTTTAATAGCTATAAGAGCTATTACTTTATTAAATTCCTAAAGCTCTGTAAGCAGAGGCGTATTATAGCGCTCTGTATGCTAGCACACGCGTTACATATTCTACAGCTGCTTAATGTTGGCTGCTTTTTGCTATTAAAGCGCGTGTATAGTACTAAGATTAGCTAGTTAATCTACTACTAAATTAACTATATTAATAAGCTAACCTTTCTACTAGCCTTTAAAGCAGCATTTAGTTGCTTAATTATAATAGATAATATCTATACAGGCTTTAGAGCTACAGGACTAGTCCTATTTAACCTAAAGCTAGTGCTCTTAAAGCTTAATATATAGCTACCTAATTAGCTAGCTACTCTACTACTAAATACTGCCTAGGAGGCTTAAACACCTAGTAATCTTTATAAAGTTAAGGCTTAGTTAACTTTACTATATAATTAGATTTAAAAGCATTAAAATTTATCTTCTTTTACTATGCTTACTTTAGTAAAGTAGCTAAGTAAGAGCGCTACTAAGATAGCTTATGTCGCTATTTTATAGCGCAATTAAGCAGCTGCCCTAGAGAGGGCCTGTAAGGCAGCTATAAAGCGTAAGCAGCGTAAAAAAAAGCAAATTTAAAAAAAAGAAACTTTAATAAGTTATTAAAGCTTTAAGTTAAGTACTTAGAAGCTTACTAGTATAGTAGAAAGTAGCAAAATGCCTTAGAAAAAGTTAACTGCTAAAAGCAGCGCAGCGCGCGTACAGCGCTGCAAGCGCTGCAATAAGCCTAGGCATAACTCTTGTACATGCAAGGATATTAAATAATTTTATAGTAGTTTATTTTATATAGTATATTTTTATGTTGTTAAATTAATAGTCTTTAAAGTTAAATTTAGTAGTAGGGCAGAACACTCGCTTGTGTTAAACATTCGCTTGTAGACTATGTTAAAGCTATTTATCTTTATAAATAAATTATTTACTAATAATAAAAACTTTAGCTTATAGCTAGAATTTTTAATTATATTAAGTAATAAAAATTATATAAAGTAAAGTAACTACTTTAAAATACTAGGTAACATTATACACTAAAATTTTACTAAGTATAAAAGAGTAACTAAAAGTGTCTTTACTAGTAAACTATATAAAATAGTTAAAAAGTTTAATAATGTAATTACTTTTAGTATAACTTTATAGTAAATTATATAAACACTTAAACTACTACTAATTTTAGTAGTAATTTGCATAGATTTAAGGTTTTTATATAATTACTTTATTAAGCTAGGCACTACTAGTAAAAAGTAACTTATAATTAACATTATATTACTCTATAAATTATATAAGAAAAGAGAAATTACTAAAATAAAGTAAATTAATAGTAAAAATAACTTAGTAAATGCATATATAAAGAAAACACTAAATTAGGCTTTTTAATTATTAGTCTTAACTAACTGCCTCTCTGTCTAAATAGAAGCATCTGTAGACTAGCTAGATTTTATGCGTAAAGATGCTCTAAACTAACTAGACTAACAACACTTTTATATAAAGCCTATCTTTTTTATTTTTTTTATTATACACACTTATTTTTCTTATTATAAGATTAAAAAAGAAAGATATATAAAAAAGACAGTTTATTTGTCTAGTATATAGAAAAAGAAAAGCTACTAGCCTCTTCCCCCCCTCTAGAACACACCACCCCTTACGTGTAGTGGTTACAATGCAGACCACAGCTCTACTATACACATAAGGTGTAGGCATTAGCTTAAAAGTTAGCTAGCATATAACACTTAATAAAAGAAAAAGCACTAGTAGTGCTACTATAATAATAAGTATATAAAGTTACTAAAACTTAACTATAACTTTAGACTAAAACTACATAAAAGTACTTTTTATAATATATAATCTTTGCTACCTATAGCTGCAGATTAGTGTTAGTAGGTAAAACAACATTAATATTATAAAATAGTAAAGCTGCTATATGCTGCTTTTTAGCTTATCTATAATTAGCATTTTATATAAAAAGAAAGTAAAAAAGCTAAAAAATTTATATATTTATGCTAAAACACTAAATAAACTACTAATTAGTAGTAAAACTAGTTAAAAGAGTAACATAGATGCGCTCTAGGCTGCTAGACTGCACAAGGATGTTAAAGACGCCTGCACTAACAGCGCTAAAGGTAGAGAAGGAAGGCTAAAGAGACATCTCTGTGTGTGTGTGTGTGTGTGTGTGTGTGTGCAGGCAGGAGTATCTATTACTATTAGCACTGTATAAAAAGAGAAAAGAGCTAGGGAATTATACAGTAGAGCTTAAAAAGTAAAAGATAAAAAAAAAGGTAAAAGATAAAAGAAGACTTTATTATATACACCTCCCTACGCACCTGCCTACACAAAGATCTTACACTATTCTAGCATAAAACCCTATATAAAATAGCTTATATACTACTAAATTACTTATAAGGTAAGTGTATAAAAGCTAAATAATAATAGCTTAAAATACTTTACACTATTTATAAAGCTATTTACATAGTGTAACTAGCTTATTTTAATGTACAGCATTACTAAGGCAAGTCTTAATAAATAAGGTAAAGTATAGGCAGAATATAACTAGATAGACTTACATAGACATAAAGAAAGTAACTTATATAAAAGGTAACTTTTTAAATAAAAATAAAAAGTTACTAGTGTTTATATATAGCAGTAGTGTTATAGCCTAGATATAAGTAATTACGCATAAGTAGGACTATGTATCTATGTTACATAATGCTTGTGTGTAAACCTCTGTGCATAAATATCTAAATATCCCCTTTTTTCTTTAAATAGAGAAAAGATAAGAGTAATAAAACTAGAAATATGTTACTCTTACCTTACCTACCTTGTATGCTGTGCACACTATACACTACTCTTACTCTTGCTACTTAAGTGCTTATACTATAAGCAGCTAGCTGTTAGAGCCTATTTAACACTATATTTTAAATTATTTATAATGTCCGAACGTTAATCACAGGTATATTGATCCAACTCTGTGTGGATATCACGTAAGCTTATCTCACGTGATATCTGTGCGGGCTTGGCAGGGGGCCAGTATAAAACCAGCCATCCCAACGTACTTAGGATGGCAGCCGTCACCAGAATCAATACATTGTGTTGCCTGCTCACCTCTTGGTACGCCCCTTGGGCGTACGTTCGTTCGATCGAACCCAGGTCAACCGACATATAATGTACTTTTTTATTACCTCTAGTTTCTTAATATTCTATTTATATAAAGGGGTATAACTGTTAGAGAGAACTTTTATAAAGATACTCTTATAGTTATATAAGTAATATACTAGTAATTAGTAAGCTGTAGTATAGCTAAATACCTCCTAGTACTAATAGTATTTAGATAGTAATTAGAGGTTTACTAATGCTTTAGTTTTACATTTATTATCTAATAGTAAAGCATACTTATCTTTAATTAAATGCTTAATTTTATAGATAAAAGTTAAAAAGAACTTATTTTTATGTTAAAATAAAAAGCATTTACTAAGATAAAGGTAATAGTAAAAGAATAAATGTTCTTTAGATCTATTCTAAACATCTTAACTAATAGGTAAATTAATAATTTAAGTGTTTTTAGACTATAGGTAATAGAAGAGTAGTATAATTTTAGTAGCCTTAGTAAACTCTTAATGTAGTAGATTGTTAAGCTGCATAACTACTAAATATAGTTCTTTTCTTATAGTGCGTTATGTTGTCTAATATCTAACTTTACTTTTTTATTACATATAGGCTAGTTTAATTACATAAGTAAAAGTAGTAAAAGTTTATAAGTAGTAAAATACTTATTAGGCTATATGTAATAATTCTATAAATTGTTCCATCTTAGGTTGCTTAGATTCTATCTAAAGGGTCCCTGTATTAGCCCTAACTATAACTTAACCTAGTCCTCTGCAGTTACCTCTATTTACCTAAGTATTTAGTTACACCTCTTCTCTTAGCTAGCTTAGTAGTTTTCTAATATCCTTTTGTATAAGGCCTATAGGTGTTAATAGCATTCCTAGGTTCTAAGTCCCCACGCACTTCTATATGCCTCTAAGTAGATTTCTACTGCATTTAGACCTATTGTCTTGCCTGTGCTGTTATATTATATTAGAAAACTTACTTTTACTAGTAACAGCCTTATTAATAATATTATATTAATTATTTATTTAACTATGTTTAACTTTAAAAAGTGTTTAATTTAGTAAAGGTTATAGTTTTTACACACTATTACATTAAATTATTTAGGTATTATAAATAGAATTTTAAAGACTTTTTATTAACTAAAGCTTTTAGGTTTAGAACTTTTTATCTTTTATAATTAAAATTACCTTTAAAAAAGTTGTAAAAAGTATGCTAAGGTAGAAACCTAAAGACTACTAATAACTTATTAGAATTAAAGATAACTACTAATGCTTAACCTTTAACTACTTTTAGACCTTAGTACAAAATTAGCAACACGCTCTAGCTATAGCTAAGGTAAAATGCCTACTACTAGAGCTAAATAACTACTAACCTTAATAGCTAAACTTTTTTTATAGAACTTAAAGCTAAAAACTTACTAGATTTAAAGTTAAACTCTAGTAATATAGCCTTTAAAAACTAAGTAGCTTAATTAAAAGCATAAATTAAGTAGCTAACTAAATTAAAAACTATTAGTTCTAATTAACTCTTACTAACTACTAAATTACTTTTAATAATGCTTTAAATTACTTTTACTACACTAATAGTAAAAGACTTTTTAAGCACCTTTAAGCTTTTTTAAAGCTACTTTACTAAACACATGCTTAAGATTAAAAACTTTATAAACAGTAAAGAACCTATGTTTAAATAATAGTAAGCCTTTATTATAAATAAACTTAATATTAATTTAGATTACTATTAGAGTAAGCGCGCACGCATAGCGTTAGTATAAAAACACACTGCTAGTATTGCAAAGGAATACCTAGAGCCTAGATACCTAGCTAAATTAGATAACTTTTAGTTTAGAAACATAAAAAAATAATTAAGCTTTTAAAAACTTACTTTAATACTAGTAATAAAAATACAGAGGCGCAACAGGCGTTTTAAACTCTAAGAATAAGTAAAGAAAAAGTGTTTTTTACTTTTAAAGCTTACTTTATTAGTGTTGCTGTTAAAGAGTTTATATTAAAGTTAAAATAGTTTTTTTACTTATAAAAAAAGATACTACCTAGCCTAAAAGTACTAAACTTAGGTTTTAAACACATATAAAAGAGCTTCTTTAAAATAATAGTAGCCTACCTAATAGCTTATAACATAGAAAGAAGAAATAACTTTATACTTTTATTTTCTAACTTTTCTAAATCTTCTTTATCTTCTATATTTATTATTTGTTTTTATTTTCCTTTAGAACTTCTAGGTAAAGTATAATTGTAATAAAGTTGCTTTTTACTATAAGAATAGAAATAACAATTATAAAAAAATCTACTT